TGTCTATGGATGCGTGTCATATATTGTTCGGTCGACCTTGGCAGTATGATCGCAGTGTCATTCATGACGGACGGAAGAATACATATTCCCTTAGCATTAAGGGAAAAAAGATTGTGCTGGCGCCCCGGCGGGAATGACTCACTCCTACCCCGGTAACCAATAATACTAACTTGCTTTCTATGTCCAGGTTTTTAGATGAGATTGAGCATGGAGGCGTGGTCTATGCCTTACTACCTTGCGAGAATAGTGCAGTAGACGTGGATATGGATTTACCAGTAGAGGTACAGCAGCTGCTAGCAGAATTCTCTAACTTGATGCCAAAGGATGCTCCTCCTGGGCTACCGCCTATGAGGGATATTCAGCATCAAATTGACCTTGTTCCTGGGTCAAGTTTACCAAATCGACCAGCATATCGCCTCAGTCCCAAGGAGGCTGAAGAGTTGCAGCGACAGGTGGAAGAGTTGTTGGAGAGGGGCTATATCCGAGAGAGTATGAGCCCATGTGCAATCCCTGCCCTGCTAGTGCCAAAGAAAGATGGTTCTTGGCGTATGTGTGTTGACAACCGAGCGATCAACAGAATTACAGTGAAGTACTGGTTTCCAATTCCCCGTCTAGATGATATGTTAGATCAGCTATCCGGTTCTAAGGTCTTCTCAAAAATTGACCTTAAAAGCGGATACCACCAAATCAGAATAAGGCCTGGAGATGAGTGGAAGACAACATTTAAAACGCCTCAAGGTTTGTATGAGTGGATGGTCATGCCTTTTGGGCTATCCAATGCGCCCAGTACGTTCATGAGATTTATGCATCAGGTCTTGCGTCCTTTTATGGGGAAATTTGTTGTAGTTTACTTCGATGATATCCTCATTTATAGTCCGACATGGACTTCACACTTCGATCACATCCATGCTGTTTTTGAGATGCTGAAAAAAGAGTGCTTGTTAGTCAATCAGAAGAAGTGTTCTTTCTTCACTACTTCTGTGACTTTTCTTGGTTTTGTTGTGTCTACTGATGGTGTTCATGCAGATCAGTCAAAGATAGTTGCAGTCTTAGAGTGGCCCAGACCAAGGACTTTACATGACATCCGAAGTTTCTATGGATTGGTATTTTTCTATTGTCGGTTCATTAGAAATTTCAGTACTCTGATTGCCCCTATCACAGAATGCCTCAAGGGGCGTGATTTCCAGTGGTCTGAGGAGGCAGAGGCCAGTTTTCAACTGGTCAAGTAGAAGATGACCGAGGCACCAGTTTTGTCACTTCCTGATTTTGAAAAAGTGTTCGAGGTAAATTGTGATGCATCTGGCGTTGTCATTGGTGGTGTTCTGAGTTAGGCAGGTCGTCTGGTTGCTTTTTTTAGTGAGAAGCTATCAGGATAAAAAAAACTACTCCACTTATGACTTGGAGTTCTATGCCATAGTTCAGTCCCTGAAGCATTGGTGTCACTACCTAGTACAGAAGGAGTTTATTCTATTTATTGATCATGAGGCCTTGAAGTACATCAATGGCCAACACAAGCTGAGTAGGCGTCATGCCAAGTGGGTGGCATACCTTCAATAATTCACTTTTACACTGAGGCACCAAGCAGGGAGTTTGAACCGCGTCGCAGATGCCCTGAGTCGTCGTACCTTACTCCTCACCACCATGAATACCAAAGTTGCAGGCTTTGAGATGTTCACAGATATGTATGCAACTGATCCTTCATTTGGAAGAATATTTCAGGAGGTAACTGAGGGTCACCGTCATGATTTTGTTTTGCATAATGGGTATCTGTTTCGTGGATTACAGTTGTACATTCCAGATTGTTCATTGAGGTAGCAAATTATAAGTGAACTTCATAATGAGGGACACTTTGGCCGAGATAAGACCTTGGCCCTTATCTCTTCTGACTTTTATTGGCCCAAGTTGACTAGTGATGTGGCCCATTATGTGGACCGTTGTTATGTGTGCCAACGGTCTAAGGGAGTACTCACCAATGCGGGCTTGTACACTCCCTTACCTATTCCTAAAGCTCCTTGGTTCGATGTCAGCATGGATTTTGTACTAGGCTTACCCCGCACCCAAAGGGCCTCGGATTCTATCTTTGTTGTAGTTGACAGGTTTTCCAAGATGGCTCATTTTGTAGCTTGCAGAAAGACTATGGATGCTGACCGGATTGCCCATCTTTATTTCAAGGAGATTGTGCGTTTACATGGTGTTCCTCGATCCATCACTTCAGATCGTGATACTAAGTTCATAAGTCATTTCTGGAAGAGCCTGTGGGGGAAACTGGGAACACAGTTGAATTTCAGTAGCGCCTACCACCCCCAGACAGATGGCCAGACCGAGGTGGTTAACAGAAGTTTGGGAAACCTTTTGAGGTGTTTAGCAGGAACGAAGCCGAAGCAGTGGGATTTGGCATTGCCTCAGGCAGAATTTGCCTACAACAGATCAAAAAACAGAACCACATATTTAAGCCCATTTGATATTATCTATGGTCAGAACCCATCCGGGGTGCTGGACTTAGCCCCTATTCCACGTATAGGACGTTTTAATCCTAAAGCATATGAGATGACAAAGTATCTTCGGGGTATCCATGAGCAGGTGAAACAGACCATTCATGAGAGCAACACCAAGTACAAGACTCGGGTTGACAATCATCGTCGTCAGGTACTTTTTGATATTGGTGATTTTGTTTGGGTTGTATTAACTCATGATCGTTTTCCTGTTGGTGAGTATAATAAGCTTAAGGATCGGAAGATTGGACCTTGTGAGGTCGTTCAAAAGATCAATGATAATGCTTACAGGTTGCGTATTCCCATTCACTTGAAGACTTCTGATGTCTTTAATGTGAAGCACCTGAGTCATTGTTTTGTGGATTCTGATGACACTACTCTGAACTCGAGGACGAGTTCTTTCCAACCCGGGGTGACTGATGCAGGGGGATCCGAGACAGATGATGCTGAGCTGTCAGATTGCACCTTGATGGCGTTGAGATACCATGAGTTGGCAGATCAGCGTAAAGGCGGGAATTGATTGTGATATGTTCCTTATTGGGGTCTTTTTGAGTGTGCTTCAGTCTTTTGACCATAACTTTTGCTACGGGTGTCAGAATCGCACATAAGACCTCAATCCAGAAAGCTCTTTTCGACGCGCACGCTGTCCACATTCCATGTGGCCTTTTTTTAGACCTCAAATTTTGTCATTTTCCACTCGAATCACTAGATTTAGATATTTTTTACTATTTATGGTAATATTTCGATTGTCAATTAGGAAGTCATTTTAAATCCGATTTCGGCCCGATTTTTTGCAGATTGCTTATTTTATTTTGAATTTCAATTTAGAGTGATTTTCAGGATTTTGCTATTTTTGGTAAAATTCCGATAAACAAGATTTTTTGGCTATAACAGTCCGGCTAGTGGATTGATTTTGGATGTTTTTTTTAATTTTATAATATTTTATTAAACCCTAGAGACTTTTTTTTCTCTGGTTTTTGGACAAATTTTCTCTTGTGAATTATCTGTTGGAACTAGCTTGCAAGATAATCGTTATGGTTTTTGGACGAATTTTCTCTTGTGAATTATCTGTTAGAACTAGCTTGCAGGATAATCGTTATTCTGTCTGGCGTCAACATACCTCTACATCATTAAGATTGGAGAGTTGCCTTAATATCATAAGTTGACGATGACAGTGCAAGTTATGAGAGTTTAAAAGTGAGAGAGAAGAGAGTTCATGTTCATGGAGGACAGTAATCATGATCAATTCAAATATTTATTAAATGATAAGAAAAACAGTGAAGACACCATAATAAAGGAAGATCCAACTGTCTATGAGGACCTATCAGAAAAATGAAATATATGGAATGAAAAAATTAGAAGCCAATGGATAGATGGATGGTGTTAGATGGGAGGCGGCAAGTCCACGTTTTGATTTACCCATATGAAAATGGTGGCCTTTATAGCTTGTAATTCAAGGAATACTCATGCTACTGTTTTAGCACCAATGGTGATAGATGGGCTACAGAATATATAGGGTTTTTAAACAGTGAACATCCATACAATACATTTAAGGATGTAAATAAAAAGAGTGTTCAATAAAATATTCATAAATCATTTATATAACGTTCATTTATGTTTGTTTATTAAATTAAATAAATGAGTATGAATAATTTTTTTATGTTCATTTAATAAACAAAAGAACAAACACGAACATAGGTATGTTCAATTTATTTATGTTCATAAACAAGTTCATTTATCGACTCGTTTAGAAGTTCGTTTGTTTAGTTCTCCTTTTTTATATTTTAAATATTGGTGAAATATTGACTGAATTGAACATAAGATAAACTTTATAGTTCAAATTATGAAACCCAAGAGATATTGGTATAATTTCATCATTTTTCTTTGGCTTGCAAATAAAAAGGTTAAAAGTGAGTGTTGGTTGTCTAAGAGACTTGAACCATATAAATGAACATATTCAGTGTTAAAAGAATGCGTTGACAAACGCTAAATGAACATGTTAACGAATATATAAACGAATATATTTACGAACATTAAACAATCAAACTTAAATACTTTCAAAAATAAGAAAACAAATATTATTACGATATTAAAATTTAAATAAACATAAACAAAATATAGATTCTTTTAAAAATAAACAAATAAACATAAATAAACATAAATAGAGTATTGTTAGTTAAAACCCATTAATTTACACCGCTAGATATACTAGTGGGCTAAATTCTCCCGATCCCCGACTTCCCACGTGTTATCTTATGCTACGAAACAAAATAGATCAGGCGCAGGATTATTAATTTTGCACCAATTATAAGACGACACGTTAACATCAAAACAACTCCTAAAATGACCCACAGATTTGCCAGATCAACTAGCGCCCATGCAAACACGGCTCTGATAATCACGTCCCGGTTCGATTATAAAATAGTGCTTAGCCCCACTAATCAGTCTTAACAAACCAATTTTGCTCTTACCCTTTTAATTTCCAAAACATTTTTGTTCTCACAATAAAATAGAATAAAATGATTCTCTCAGTTTGCTACTTTTCTCTTTAATCTACTAATTTTCTCCTCCTCTGTTCCTTTTTCATTGCTGATCTCCTGCATTTCAAATCTCGAATCTGGTAATTATTCTTTATTATTTCACCTTTAATCTCATTGCTTCTACATTGTAATTATTATTGTGGTTAGCTTTTTGTCTTTGGGTTATCCGTCGAATTCTTGTTGATTTTCCGGCAATAAATTTTATGGAACGATTTGGGCTTTTTAATTATTTTTTTCCCTTTTGATTGGTGACTCGAGTTAGTCAAGCTTTTCACTAACATAATTGATTAGAGATTCTTCTCAGTAGCTTAATTTTTTTTTTATTTCATTTCATAATTCCTACCTTTTTCTTTGATTTTCTGCTGTGAACCGATAGGAAGCTATCGAATCCGAGGCACTATGAAAGCAGATGACAAGTTTTTGAACATGGGCATTCTCATAGTAGCCACGCTAGTAGTGGCCAAGCTCATATCGTTCCTCATAATGCCCGGATCTAAGAAGCGGGTGCCTCCAGTGGTCAAAACCTGGCCGGTAATCGGTGGGCTACTTCGATTCATGAAGGGACCCATCGTGATGCTCCGAGAGGAGTACCCAAAGCTTGGCAATGTTTTCACGTTGAACTTGTTTAACAAGAAGATAACATTCTTGATTGGGCCCGAGGTTTCAGCAACCTTCTTTAAGGCTTCCGAATCAGACCTCAGCCAACAGGAGGTTTATCAGTTCAATGTGCCTACTTTCGGTCCCGGTGTGGTGTTCGATGTTGATTACATGGTGAGGCAAGAGCAGTTCCGGTTCTTCACGGAGGCCCTTAGAGTTAATAAACTTAAGGGTTATGTGGCTCAGATGGTTACAGAAGCTGAGGTGAGTGGTTTGCATACACGTTTTATAAATTGTCTATTATTTCATTTGATGACCCCATATCGGAACCTAATAAAGAAGCGACAATTATTCGATACTGTTAGAGGATCGTGGGGTTTTGCATTTCTGTTTTCGAGTAAATTGAAGTTTGGCTATACAATGTGGATCATGTGGACTTGGAGATAGAAAAGAGACTTCTTAGTAGTTGTTGTGGTTTGTGCATAAAGTATACCTTTATGTGACGAGTGAGAAGGCTTTTGTTATTATTTGATGGTTTCTTGTGTAGTTGCTACGTTTGGTTCGGGTGTTCAGTCTGACATGCTAGAGGAGAATTTTCTGTTATTGAATATGGTTCCATGTTATATATGTTCAATGGTGCAACTCCGTAGTTTTGATTTTGTTGTCTAATAATTATGGAATTACACAGGAATACTTCTCTAAATGGGGGGATAATGGTGAGGTGGACTTGAAGTATGAGCTGGAGCATTTGGTCATCTTGACGGCTAGTAGGTGTCTCTTGGGTCGAGAAGTACGTGATAAGCTTTTTGATGACGTGTCTGCACTCTTCCATGATCTTGACAACGGCATGCTCCCTATCAGTGTTATCTTCCCTTACTTGCCTATCCCTGCTCATCGTCGTCGTGATCGAGCTCGAAAGAAGCTTGCTGAAATCTTTGCAAATATCGTTTCTTCTCGTAAAAGTGCTGGCAAGTCTGAAAACGACATGTTGCAATGTTTCATTGAATCTAAGTACAAAGATGGTCGCCCAACTACAGAGGCTGAAGTAACTGGCTTGCTCATTGCTGCGCTCTTTGCTGGGCAGCATACTAGTTCCATTACCTCAACTTGGACAGGTGCTTATCTCCTTCGTCATAAGGAGTTCCTATCAGCTGTGGTCGAGGAGCAGAAACAACTAATGCAGAAATATGGAAGCAAGGTTGATCATGATATTTTATCTGAGATGGACACCTTGTATCGGTGCATTAAGGAAGCCCTTAGAGTTCACCCTCCACTTATTATGCTTCTACGCAGCTCTCACACTGATTTTAGTGTAAAAACCCGAGATGGAAAAGAGTATGACATTCCGAAGGGTCATATTGTCGCAAGATCACCGGCATTTGCAAACAGGCTTCCTTACATTTACAAGGATCCAGACACATACGATCCTGACAGGTTCCGTGTTGGGAGGGAAGAAGACAAGGCGGCAGGGGCTTTCTCATATATTTCCTTCGGAGGTGGCAGGCATGGTTGCCTTGGGGAACCATTTGCTTACCTTCAGATAAAGGCTATATGGAGCCATTTGTTGATGAACTTCGAGCTGGAGCTTGTGTCACCTTTTCCTGAGATTGACTGGAATGCTATGGTGGTTGGTGTGAAAGGAAAGGTGATGGTTCGTTACAAGCGTCGACAGCTCTCTGTCAATTAGAAAGAGATAACGTTTCTGTTGATTTGCAGTTTCAATTCGTGTTGTTTAACATGTTGGCTTATTTTGTTCTGTTTTCAAACTTTGGTTTATTTCTCAGTGGTCTTTGGATTCTATTTTCTAGTTGTTTTTTTCTATTGATATAAATATTCATGATCAGTTAATGTGCAAAAACTTGGCTTTCGCTGCTCTACTTGGAATGAATGTCATGTAAAACTTAGTTTAGTTCAAAATAACTATTGCTGCAGTGAATGCCAATGAACACTTACATCATCAAGGTTTTAAGTCCCCAAGCGGTCCTACTGTCCGGTTCAAAATCTTTCCAACAGTCTTCAAGTAGATACTCTTCTGATGCAGCAATTTACAAGTTAGGCCATGGAAAGCATCTCCCTGCAATGCAGGTTGTGGAGACAACATGGCTCGTTTCATCGAAGGATTAATGAGAATGCTCTGATTCCTTAAGACTACTTTCGGTGAATCGTATCTGGCCTAAGAACATCTTCTTCTGCAACAAGCACTCCAACAACCTGCCAGGGGATATCATAGCATCAGCAAAGTGTAGAACTATATCATCAGGTAAGATAACAGGAATGCAACCAAATACCATAGCCTCAACTAGCCTCGGACTCCAAGGTGTCCATCAGAGCAGGCACAACTAAAGGGTTGGACACTGCCCTTCAGAGAGTTTGATTTGTTTTGGGCATGGATTAGTTATCAGAGCACGACGCGAGTTTAAGGTGCAAGCTTCGATGGCTTAAACTTCGAAAGGAAAATGGGACTAGGATTATAATGTTTGGCGAGAAACCTAAGGGTGCAAGAGTGGTGTCGACTCTTAAAGTGCAACGAATGATGGATCAGGGTTATGAAGCCTTCTTGGCTCATGTAGTAGATACCAAGTTGCGGTTTCGAGGATCGAAGACATCAGAACTGTCAGAGACTTCCCATTTGTATTTCCAGAGGAGTTATCGGGTTTATCGCCTAACAGAGAGTTAGAGTTTGGTATAGAAGTAATACCCGGGTTTGCTCCGATGTCTATTGCTCCTTATCGCATGGCACCGACAGAGTTAAAAGAGTTGAAGTCGCAACTTCAAGGGTTACTTGAGAAGGGGTTTATCCGGCCAAGTATTTCTCCTTGGGGAGTACCGGTCCTCTTCATTAAAAAGAATGACATGTCGATGAGATTGTGCATCGACTACCGTCAATTGAATAAGTTGACAATCAAGAACCGTTATCCCCTTCACAGAATTGATGACCTCTTCGATCAGCTTAAAGGAGCATGAGTTTTCTTTAAGATAGATCTGAGATCCGAGTATTACCAGCATAAGGTTAAAGAGGCAGATATTGCGAAGTCGACGTTAAGGACAAGATACAATCACTATGAGTTCCTTGTAATGTTGTTTGGACTCGCCAACGCCCCAGCGATATTCATGAATCTCATGAACTGGGTTTTTCACCTGTACTTAGATCAATTCGTGGTGGTTTTCATTGATGATATCTTGGATTACTCACGATATGAGGATGAGCATGGTCAACACCTCCACATAGTTCTTCAGACTCTTCGGGATCGACAATTGTTTGCTAAAATTGGAAAGTGCGAATTTTGGCTGTCATAGGTTTCATTTTTGGGACACGTAATAGCCACATATGGTATTCGAGTTAATCCTCAGAAAATTCATGCAATTCTCGAGTGGGAGCCACCAATGAGTATAACCGAAGTGAGAAGTTTCTTAGGACTTACAGGTTAGTATCGACGATTTGTGAAAGACTTTTCGATAATAACAACCCCAATGAGTAAATTACTTCAAAAGGGAGTGTCGTTTGTTTGGGGGTGAAAAACAACATAATATTTTTGAACAGTTGAAAACCCTTTTAACCCAAGCCCCAGTTCTAACTCAGCCCGAGTTGGGGAAAAAGTTTATTGTGTATAGCGATGCGTCGCTAAACGGCCTTGGTTACGTGTTGATGTAAGAGGGAAAGATGGTCGACTATGCTTCTCGTCAACTTAAGCCTCACAAACGAAATTATCCCACTCATGACCTAGAGCTGTAGTCTTCGCGCTAAAGATTTGGAGACATTATTTGTATGGAGAGAATGCCACATCTTCACCGATCATAAGAGCTTAAAATATATGCTCACCCAGAATGCCTTAAACATAAGGCATTGTAGATGGGTTGAATTGACTATGACTGCATTAACAATTACCACCTAGGAATGACAAATGTCATAGCTGATTCGCTGAGTTGAAAGTCGATGACAGAGTTGAGAGAGATTTTAGGGCGCATGAGCATTTCTAGTGATGGTGATTGTTGGCAGATCTTCGAGTAGAACCTAAGATAATAAGCGAGATTAAGAAATTGCAAAGTTTAGATAATCGTTTCAAAGCTCGTATGGGGCAAGTTCGTCGAAGCAAGGCACCAGGGTTTTAATTGCGAGAAGGTGATGTGTTGTACTTCAGAGGATGTTTACGTGTTGCTGAGGAAGAGCAGCTGCTTAACAAGATTCTCCACGGGTTTCAATCACTAATTTTTTTTAAAAAAAAACATCCAAAAAGAGATTTGAAAACGACTTGATCATCCCATCAAACATGGGTATCGGTCTCAATAACTTGTGAGAAAAGTATAGCATTTGTGTTTTACTTGTGCTAGAAGGGAGGGATATACCACATAAACTGGTGGCTACGGTATCTTCACATCTCTAGGTAGGAATAAATCAAGGGACGACTATAACTATTATTATATATTTTTATTGTTAACTTATCTCTAGGTAGGAATAAATCAAGGGACGACTATCTTACCACCAACATTAACATCCTATGTCAGGGACGGAGCTCCCTTAGGATCTAAGTTTTCTGATTCCTGTTAAAATTTGTATATTAAATATAATTTTAGTTTAATAATATTTTAGTTCATGTAAAATTAAATATTTAAATTCAAAAAATAAAAAAGTTTATTAAATATTTAATCAAGTAGTGGTCGAACTAAATAATGATAAGTATATACAAAGACTTTTAACTATTTGACAATGAACGCTCATACCTCTACATACGCAGTGCTTAAACTCGGGACATCAATGATAACAACAATCCTCTTAATCACTAAGATCACTTGTTCATATTGAATTTCGAGTTTAAATACCTAATAAATCAATTGTGACTCGTCCTGTGGTTCGTTATAGAATGACCCAACTTGTTGTTTGAAGGGAAAGGGTGGTTTCTGAGTCAATGCAAACTCTTCTGGTCTCCCATCCTTGAATATTACACAAATAGACAAGGCAATATTCTATTTGTTTTTATGACTTGGTCTCGACTACATTGATAATGACATATACAGACAAAATAAGGAAGCTAATGGGCTCCGGAAACCAAGAAGGTTAAATTGGAAAATGGAAGACAAATGAACAAAGGTGGGTGTGAGGATAGTGCATGCATGCTCTTTCTGCAAATCCCAAGGCATTTTTACATTAATTTTGGAGCCCCTTGTAATAAAATACACATTGTGTATACTCAAAAGTCTGAAGATTTTTGACCTATTACTGTGCCACTTCGGTGGGAATCAGATTTTGCCAGAGGATAAACACTAAAATGAGGGTCCAAAAAGTCAGCATTTCTAACTCGGGATACGCATTTTCCCCGTATTTGAAAAATACTTCACACCAATCCAATTGTGTTCATTAAGTTGGGATTGGTATTTTTAATCTTTTTGAGGTAAAATTGACTGTTTCCTTGTGGGTCAGGTAGATAAATTAATGTATAATTTATACATAGTACAACAAAGACATACGGGTTAAAGATAAGATTTATGGGTAATATTTAATCATAATTTAAAAAAAATGTATTGATTTCTAAAATATGCATAGAAGTGGTAAATCATGTTTAACGTAAAAGTATGATCATTTCTATGATTTATGAAGTTGTGATGAACTATGTTAATAACTGACAATTTGTAAGATAGGCAAGTTGCTTAATATGGTTAAATTAATGTTAATTAAATGACAATTGAGGGAGAAATTATTTCGTGGACTCTTTTCATCATATCATCAATGGTCTCAACCAATTAAAAGAATTCACAATCGAACAAGTAATACAGTGATGAGTGAGTATCGTTCTCCACAGGGATTGGGGGAAATAAAATAAGTTTGTTAAGGCACTTTACTTTGTCACCTAAGTAAAGTTAGTGATGGTATGTACAAATGAGAATGCTGTGACAAAATAGAATGTCTGATGTGGAAATAGAATGGTGGTAGTGTGGTAGCAAATGGATATGTCGTGACAAATTATATTGTGATGCGTGCGAACAAATTGAAATGTCAAGGTAAAATAAAATGTAAATACGAGATTTAAAATGTAGGACTTTAGCTTTCTCACACGATGAACTGCTTTGGGAATGAGTGATGGGAGTCACTAAGGAAAATATAAGTCTACTTCTCCGAATGATTTTATCTCTATGTCTCTCATGCCCGACAGAGAATACTAAGGTGCCCTATGTTATCTCTAGTAAGGGACTCGATAGATTCAAGATGCCCTGGCAAAACCGATTGGCATAAACCCCTGCAGTGATCCTATTGGTCCAGATAACAAGATATGTCTCGGCAATACCTTTTTGCGGCAGCATTAACATCTAACCTATCGTTCTTGCACAACTCCTTTTAGTCGAATGAAATCCTAGCCTTATCTCTAAGGTGGATTAGGCCTAGTTACTACCTAGAACCCTTTGTTTATGTAGTTCCTCCCTAGATTCTCTCGAATACTAAGGATATTTTGCTAAGGTATTCTCTTGAACCCTAAGAACCTCATAAGGAAAGGCTACTCTCGTAGCTCCTACAACCTTAAGGCATTAAGTATCATAAACAAAATAGATTAAAGCATAGAAAAACAACCATTCATTGAAATAAAAACTTAAACATCCAAGCGAACTCCCACCAAATAGGTTTAGTTCATGGTGGGGTTAGAAATAACCAAGCACAAAGCAAGTATCATTCGTTCCTTACAACCCGAATAACAAAATATGAAAGCAAAGATCTAAGGGGAGGAAAAAAACCTTTAGCGTGCACTGCTGGAGCTTTCCTCAGCCACCACGAACTGCTCCCAGCGAGCTAGCTCCTCTCGGAGGCCTAAAACGCCACTCCCT